TTCTTTTTGAGTATCGACATCAAAAGATTCAGGACAAACATCCACTATTTTGGTTGTATGAATACGAGAAATTTCGAGGGCATAAATTTGATCTAAAACATGTGCTGTTGCACTATTTTGTGTGTTAGAACCTGGATACTGAATTTGCCAAACTATATCAATTCCATTGATGATGCTTTTGTGGTTCAGGGTCAAGGCCTTGGCAGGGCCCTTGTTGAAAAGCTTATAAGAGCACTCTTGCAAAGGGATATTGGCAATATAACACTCTTCGCAGATAGTCAAGGTATTGCAGCACTGTTCTCAGCTTAGTTACTATTGTTGATCTTTACATCTAATGCTTTTTAATCGGTTTTAGGCCAATGCTTTTTTCCCCCACCCCGATATCATGATTTTAGGAATGCAATACGTATCGATTCCAGTTTTAGCTTTATGCAATAGTTTAGATTGGATTTGGATTCAGCTGAAAGTCTAAAACACTGTGATTGTTGCAGTGGTAGAGTTTTATCGGAATCTTGGTTTCGAACCGGACCCTGAAGGGATTAAAGGCATGTTCTGGTACCCGAAAAGGTAGTGCTCGCTTGGACAAGGTCACACTTATTTCTCCCTATGTTCTGTTTCTTAACACGGGATCTTGGAACGAAAATAGAACAACACTGCTGCTTCTGTTTTATTTATATGATTATTGTTAAACTCTGTAAATACACTTCATATATAGGAATGATATCTAGCTTCTTGTGGTGCAACTTTGATTTATGTTCTATATCACGCCGTCCTCCGAATGATCCTATTTTTTCCTTTTTTTAGTCTAGGACCAACTTCTACCTTGCTACATTTGGTTGTTGAGGTTACTCGTGAGATATTAAATACTAGAAAAGTAACCACCATAGATTCAATTCATTCCCTCTAAGTTCTTTACTATTTGTATCTTATAAACTGCTAGTCCAACCCATAACAGTTCTATCTTAGGTGAATATAGGTAGTTTTTGGTCGATGTGTAGACGACCCATTCTATCTTTCTCTATATACCTGAATATACTGTTCAAGCTTTAGAGATTATTTAACTCATGAGTTAGGTTTATGTATCATAGAGTTCAAAAGTCTCAAATTATTTTTGATACATAAGTTTATTTATTTTGAGTTAGGATAACATAACTTAGACTTATAATACTCAACTATGTGTTACCTTTTATTAGTTATAGATTTAAAAATTAAACCCTACATAAATTTTTGAATCACCACTAAACTTAAAAACTTAAGCTGGCTAAGATAAATGTAATCTTTTTAATATATTCTCAACGATCTTCACTTGTGAGTCCAAGATTAGTGTGAAATTCAACCAGTAGACGTTAAACACCATTTTTTTTAACTCGTTCTTTAATGTATCTCGAATATACTGTTTGTTGACACCGTATTTGGTCCGGCTCAAATTTTATTATTTTATTTATTTATTATTAACATTAATATTAATATTTTATATTATAAAATTTTATTTGTTTTCATTAAAAATAACATATTTTACCTTATTATTTATAGTGGGACGAATTATTGAGTTTTCAGCCCGTTTAACAGAGAAATAGAGATTCTCCGTGATGGTCTAATGGCAGTCTCAATTCACGTCCTCTCTGTCTCTTTCCATTTACTCTTGCATTTTTTTTTAATCGGTTTCTCCCTTTATTTTTAAATAAAAGAATATTGATTTTTTTAAATAAATTTTGTTTTAAAGTTAATAAATCTAAAATCATACGTATGTAAAGTTTGATAAGATTTTTTATTTTCATTTTTATTTTTTTTTGTATAAAACAGTTTTATAGGAATACAAAATAAAGAGTTTTCTTTTTATTTAAATTTTCGTTTATACTTTTGTTTTCCTTTTTTTTTAAATAAAATTAAAAAATACAAAGGTTTGTATTTTAAAAAAGAGCATGATGTGTATCCTAAGACAATATTACATTGGCAATGCACTAGGATATTGACATACATGACACAAGTTCAAGTCTTTGATTGCCTCATTTTTATCATTGTTTTTATTAAATAAAAGTTTTTTTTTTCTTTTTAAATAAATCTTTTCGTTTATTTTTTTTAAACAAAATTAAAAAATAAAAAATTTATATTATAAAAGACGATTTTAAATTGCATACTAAGGTCTTTGAACACTGGCAAGAGCTTTAGGTATTAACAACCATATTAAAAGTTCAAGTCTTTATGTGTGCCTTGATTTCGTTTTATTTCTTTTTTTTATTTATCATTGTTTTCTTACTAAATAATTATTTCGAAAATCCCAATGACAGAAATTGGATCTTTCCAATATTTTCGAGGTGTCAAAATTTTTCTAATGGCTTTCGTGCCACTCATATCTATTAATTCATATCTTATAATAAAATGTGAATTAATATAATATGAGACATTTAAAATAAAAAAAATATTTTTTTTGGACCAAATAACATAATGGGATAATTTTTGACAAAATGTGGTACCGTTTTCAGACGGGTGTCGTAGGGTGCTAACACCTTCCCTACGCTCAGTCGACTCCCGAACCAATGATCTGTTTTTGCAGACCTTGTTTTTATTTTTAGGTGACCAATCACACCTCGTAGATGATTGGTGGCGACTCGAAACCTTTATCTCGAAAGAGACCCTTCAAGGGATGACGTCGGCCACTCCGCGTCGCGATGACGTTGCCACAGCTTGGCGACTTCGCTGGGGACATTTGAGAGTCAAGCCATTTATTTTGTCATTTATTATCCTATTGTAATATGTTTTTGGGTCCTTTTTTTGTTTGTTTTTTTTCTTCATTTAATTGTATTATTATTTTATTTTGCATAATCATGCATCTCACACACATTCACAAGCCTCCTACCCGGGTTTTACCTTTTAGGATTAGATCGGAGACTGAGTAGTGTGACCTTCGTGGAATTGCGGTTCCCGTGCAGGCGCATGAAATTCTCCACTCAAGTCGACCATACTGCCAAAGCATATGGAAAATTTGGGGGCCATTATCTTTTAGGATGCATTAGTACATAACTTCACGCCATATTCATATTACATTTATGTCAGTTGTTATGTTATTCATAGCATTTTGTTTGTTTTAATAAAAAATTTAGGGTTGATTTGAAGTTTTAACCATAAAACTTTAAATGAACCACTTTTTTAAAAAAATAAAGGAAAATAATAAAAAATAATTTACCTTACTTCTTCCTAACTATTTGTTTAAGTTTTGGATAGAAGTGTTGCCTTTCAAAGGGGTTATAAATGTCCCTGTTGTAGGCACGTAAACACTTTCAAACTTATTTACTCACTTAGGAGTTCGGCTTTATAACCCTAGAATTTAATTTTATGTACATATTTATGTTTCTCTCTCTTAGGGTGAATTAGAGTCTACCATTACATTTGCATTCATTTGGAATGTATTAATGATTGCATGAAGTATTTATTATATTCTTGGGGCAGTTTGTAGCATATTTAGATAATTTTTTTTTCTCCTCCAAAGAAAATAAAATAAAAAAACTTATCCTGCTCATGCATCATTCTGCATGTCCATATCATAAATTAAAAAAAATATATATCTATCTTTTGTATGCATCATTTTACATGTCTATATCATAAATTAAAATTTATCGTTCTAATGCATCATTCATATGTCTAAATATATATATTAAAAAAAAGGAAGCAATATTTTCGCAGGCATTGTTTCGCATAATTCCCCTAATTGGTGATCCAACATTTGTATCTCATCGTCTGATGCATATCAATTTCTATCTTAAAAAATCAAAATCTGTGCATTCTCCATTACATTATAATTAATACGAACTCTTAGAAAAAATAGCTCAAGAACCACATATTTACTATTCTTTATATACAAGGTACATAATGCAGCATAACATGGAATAATTTAACGCTGAGCTAAACAAACTTAGAATAGAAATCCACGAACGGGTCATGGAAGAATTGAATACTGAGCTAAGGAAAATAAGAGGCGAGATTCAACAACAGGTCATGGAGGTGCAGAATGTAGAGCTAAAGAAGATGAGACAAGACATTGATAAGATTCAGGGACAAATCACAGAAATTTTCAATATCTTAAAAAATATTGTTGGCGGCATTTCTCAACCTAACAATTTAGTCGAACCTCATAATAATTCATCACCTAAGGTGAACTCACCTCCTTGTCAGTTAATAGAGGGCTTCCCTCCGCATAATTCATCACATGAAGCTCAGCTTTCCAAGAAAGGCCAACAAGCTCCTACAATATGTCAGGTTGAATTTACACTCCATGATGGACAAACATCAAAGGCCATTCACTCAAATATTTTAA